GACCTCCCGAGACGTGGGCCCGCGGGCCTCTCGTGGACGCATCATTTTAAATGCAGCACACGACTGTTACACCCCCCTTATATTTGTAAACGCCATGCTCTCCCGCACGGGGTAGACGTGTGAACGCGATTGGAAACCATCCTGCGTTCTAAAAATGCTGTTTGGGGATACTGCGTTCCGGCGATAGTTCTCTGTTGGAAACTGTTGAACATTGTGTTTGGAGAGGTGGGGGCCTCTCTTTTTGGGGGGCGACTTAAGGGAAACCGGAACATCTTCGCTGAGCGCCCATTTTCGGAAGGTTTATGCGTTCCCGAAGTCGTTTCTCCGAGTGTCGATGCCAATGTTTTCTGAAATTCGCTCCCGCGAATGATGGGAAACCTGTGTGGACCTTAGGGAAAGGAGAACTCAGCGAGCAGTAGTAGTGGTGTTTTTTTCCCCTGGGGCTCTACCGCCGAGGGAATGGGAAGAGCGGTGCTGAGGCGACTCCTCCGCCTTCTACGCTCGAGGGTCGAGTGTCCGGTATTTCTTGCGGGGGGGAGGCTGGGCAGACCGCGAGAGGCCCTTCGCGATCTCCAGAGGCCTCCAGGGACCTCCAGGGACCTCCAGGGACCTCCAGGGACCTCCGGAGATGGCCCAGGACCTCCGGGCCTCTGGAGACCTCCTCCACTTGCTGCTGCTGCTGCTGCTGCTCCTGCTCCGCTCGACTCCTCCCTCGCCCCCACGACACGTAGGTGGACGATAGTCTCCCTGGCGATGATGCGGGCGTTCGTCTTCATCGCGTTGAACTTTTCAATTCAGGTGTTGTACGTGGTGCGGATCCATCGGATGAGCGTGGATATGCAGGATCAGCAGTGGTGCCACGAACACTCTTGCATGCAGGTGGTCTGTGTCTTCGTGTTCGGCGCCCGGCGGCGCCAAACCTGGCTCGACCGTATCGGGTGGAGGTTTGCTGCTGGGGAGGAGCAGGATGGGTAGGAGGAGGAGGAGGAGGAGGAGGAGGAGGAGGAGGAGGAGGAGGAGGAGGAGGAGGAGGAGGAGGAGGAGGAGGAGGAGGAGGAGGAGGAGGAGGAGGAGGAGGAGGAGGAGGAGCGGGATGATGAGTCCAGTGCCCTCTTCTTCGTCCGCTTCCCGGGGCCCTGAGATCAAGCGTCGGGGAAAAATGCAACGTCGTGATAATCACGACCAGAGCCCTCGAGCCCACCTTTCCGCGGCACTCCTCGTTGACCCCAGGGCCCGAAACTGGGCGAAAGCGCTCCGTGTGGCAGAAGCTGCGACGCCGGACCTCAGGGTCACCCAGACAGTCAGAGGGCGCCTCTCCAGGGCTGCCGTCGCATCCTCTCCTCAGGGTTAAGTGGCTGGGATGCCCTCTACAAAGAGCATTCCGCTCCGCTGAGGCCAGGCCTCGGAGGGGTCAGGCCTTCCACCCGCGGTGAAGCCCCGCAGCGGGGATGCGGTGCGGCAGGTTCGCGCCGCGTCGACTCGGCGGCGACGGGACGACTTCAGATTAGACTTCTGTTGTATTCTCGTTTGGCTTCGGCCCTCCCCCTCGTGGCCGCGGCTGGACGCAGCTCGAGAGACTGCTCAGGAGTGTGTCCAGGAGGAGTCCGGGGGTTGATTTTGAGCGAACGTGGTCCCTGGCAGATCCGCGCTGCCCCGCCCCCGCGGGTACTCAAAGTCGAAGGCCACTGGCGGCCTGCACTCCTGAAGGATCTCCGCGGCCCGCGTTGTGTCAGAAGTCGATGTCGACACGACAGGAACCGGCCGCTCTTCACCAAGGCTGCCCCTGCATCCTTGCTTCTCAGGTTCATCCCTACGGTGGGTTCGGGTCGTGCCAACGCGGCAGTGACCACGCTGCAGCATTCAAGTTTGAACGCCGCCAGTGGCCAAGAACCGGCAGTTTTTTTTTCCCGATCTGGCGATCGAGAAGCCGCCGATCGTTCAATGTTTAACGGCCACTCGGCGTCAGAAGCTAGCTCCACGACTCGGTCAGTCTCGAGTCGCCAGCCCGCTGAGGTGCCCGACCCCTCCCAAGAGCCAACTTTTTATCGATCCCGAATCCCTTTTTGACAGTTCTGGGCCAGGAAGCGGCCCCCAGACGCCGAAAAAGACGAAACAAATCTGGCCCGATCCCATGGAGTCGCCAGATGCCTGCGTTCTCCAATAGTCTCCGGCGATGCCTGCGTCCTCCAAAGGTCTCCGGAGGTCCCCAGAGGTCCTTGGAGGTCCCCAGAGGTCACCGGAGGCTTCGGAGGCTTCTGCAGACCCCAAAAGGCCCGAAGCCATGAACAACAACCTGATCCTCGATCCTCGAGGATCAGGTCCAACAACAACAACAACAACAATTACTAGCACGTGGGGACACTCCGTTCTCACCAGTGCCAGGGTTTTCATACGACGCCCGCCAATACCCCCACTTTGTGGGGGGGCCGGTTCAAGCTCTACCACATTTCCAAACGACTCTTCGCCACCACCCACACCCAGCTTCCCGCCCTATGACGTTCGGACACTTCACTTCGTGGCCTGCGGACGACCGTGGCTACTACACTGGCGCTACTACACTGACGACACGCGCGCATGTGTCCCGCATGGTATGTTTTGCAAGGGAATGTGGCCCCTGGCAGGCGCGCGAACGCCGTTGCAAGAGCTTGCGAAAGTAGCTCGCGCGAGCTCATGTAACATAAATGTTGAAAAACCATTGGTTTTTTAGGATTCGGACAGCGCGCGCGGGTAGAAATTTTGAAAATTCGTACAGATATTTTTCGAGGACCTACGGTGCGATTCGTCTGATTTTATGTTGCGCGGTGCTAAAATTCCTAAGAAACCCAATGGTTTTTGAAGATTTCGGCGTGCGCGCGCGAAGAAAAAACGAATGTGTCCCGCATGGTATTATTTGACAGGGATGATGGCCCTGGCAGGTGCGCAACCGTTGTTGGAGAAGTTCGAAGCACGTGAAAAAGTTGCTCGCAAAAGCCCGTTTGACAGAAATGTTTAAAAAGTGTTGGGTTTCCTACAAATCCGCAAGAGCGCGCGGGATGAAATTTTGTCATTTTTTTTTTTCTTTGAAAAACCATTTTTTTTTTTTTTTTTTTTTTTTTTTTTTTTTTTTTTTTTTTTTTTTTTTTTTTTTTTTTTTTTTTTTTTTTTTTTTTTTTTTTTTATGTTTTTATGTTAAAATCGTTACGAACACTAAGGTTTTGGAAGGATTTCGTCTTGCGCGCGCGAATGTCCACTGTACCTTGTTTTTTGCAAGGGATTCTTGAAGTTTGGTTATGTTAGAACAAGACATGTCCACTTTAGCTTATTTTTTGCAAGGGAAAACCGATCGTAACAACACAACCGGATCCGGACTCCCCCGTTTTGCCTGAGATTTCCTCACGAAAATGATGACAATGAGGCTGCGGCCTAGGCGCGGCGGGGGGGTCGTGCACCAGGGGCCCCAACAATAATTATTCTTTAGAAGTAATAATGTTCAACAACAACGACCTGATCCTCGAACAACAACAACAACAACAAGCCATGCGGGGCCATGTTCGAGGGGGCCCTCTTCCTTCTCCTCCCTCACTCTTTCCTTTTTCTCCTCCTCCTCCTCCTCCTCCTCCAGACCTCTTCACGGGTGAATTTAGAGGCGGATCCAGCCTTGGCTGCGAGACCGCACGAGGAGGCCCGAACGGGGCGAGCAGCTTCCAGCCCTGGCCAGGTCCAAAAATTCTCCCTGGAGGGTGCCGTCCAGGCATTTCCATCTGCTCGGAGCTCCGCGGGTGCGCGGACTTCCTGCTGCTGGTTGTCCGGTGCCCCGCGTCGGGCAGTGGCTACGCGGGCATAGGAGACGGTCCAGACAGGCCGCAGCGCCACGGGGCCGTGCTCTCCCAGGAGCGGGGATGGGGGCAGAACAGAGGGCGGGTGGTGGTGATGATGATGACGATGATGATGATGATGATGATGATGATGATGATGATGATGACGACGACAGATGATGATGATGATTATGACGATGACGATGACGATGATGATGATGATAATGATGATGATGACGGTGGTGGTGGCGGTGGTGGTTAGATGGTGGTGTGATGATGATGATGGTGCTGCTGATGATAATGCTGACTATGATGATGATGACGATGATGATGATGATGATGATGATGATGATGATGATGATGATGACGGTGGTGGTGGCGGTGGTGGTTAGATGGTGGTGTGATGATGATGATGGTGCTGCTGATGATAATGCTGACTATGATGATGATGACGATGATGATGATGATGATGATGATGATGATGATGATGATGATGATGATGATGATGATGATGATGATGATGATGATGATTGATGATGATGATGATGATGATGATGATGATGATGATGATGATGATGATGATGATGACGATGATGATGATGATGATGATGATGCTGATGATGACGCTGATGCTGATGATGATGACGATGATGATGATGATGATGATGATGATGATGATGATGATGATGATGATGATGATGATGATGATGATGATGATGATGATGATGATGATGATGATGATGATGATGATGATGATGATGATGATGATGATGATGATGATGATGATGATGATGATGATGATGATGATGATGATGATGATGATGATGATGATGATGATGATGATGATGATGATGATGATGATGATGATGATGATGATGATGATGATGATGATGATGATGATGATGATGATGATGATGATGACGGTGGTGGTGGTGGTTAGATGGCGGTGTGATGTGGTGGTGGTGGTGATGAGGTTGATGATGATGGTGGTTGTGATTATGGTGGTGGTGATGGTGGCGAGGCGAAGGAGGAACAGCATTGATAGAGGGCACAGTTTTTAAGGTCTTTGTGCCCTTCTTTGGCCTCCTGGGGCGGCCTCGTCTCCACGGCTGGATCTCCGTCGAATGTCTGGCCAGAGCGCACCCCAGGATTGGTTTGGTGGTTGCCTTTTTTGTTGTAGGCCTCACGGGGTGGATTTTGGCCAGGGACCAGCAAAGCAATACCTTGAAGGAAATACTCGTCCCAAGAAGTGTGTCTAGAGCTTCGGGTACCCCGTATTAGAAAGAAACGACACCGGAGATCTAGGGAGTAGAGTGCGGAGGAGCAGGAGGATGGGCCCGTTCGAGGAGACGCTCTCCTCGAGACCTTGGACTCGTTGGAGGTTTCTGGAGGTTTTCTTTCCGACGTTCTCGGGGGTTCATGGCAGGTTTTCGCATGGGCTGGGAGTTTTTGTCGCCACAGCCGGACTCGGCTCGGAAATCGGGTCAGGATGGGAGGGGCCTGGTGATCGGTTTCTATTGGCGCCCCCTGATTCCCAAACCACGAGAACACATCGCTTTACTTTTCGTCAGACAGGACGTCGGAGGCCTGGGCAGTCGTCAGCTGGCCCTCCGCTCATTCCCCCGTCGCGGCATGCACGGAATTCGGGGTATATTCTGACCTTGTTTCTGAGCGCGCGGCGAGGCTGCGTGCAGCCATGGGTGGACAAGTCGCGCGCTCACAGTGCTTGGCTGGAGCACCTTTTCATCTTTGAGCTCGCTTTGGCAGCCGACCATTTGCGACGCAAGGAGGCTCAGCGCAACTCCTCGCCGTCCCTGCTCGGCGGGGATGGTCTGGCGCTGCAGCTCAAGGCAGGGTGGCAATCACGCGCCGCAGGGCTCCTGCGTGACCGTCGGAGCGATGCTTTCCACCACCTCCGTCTCAAGTTGGACCGATGGTCCCTGTCTGTTCTTCCTGGTCATCGGCCTGGGCGATTTCTCAATCGATTGCGTGACATCGCAGCAGTGGCTCCGCCACGGATTCTTGCAGCTGTCTTGCGTTGTGTTTTCAATGGCTGGCCTACTTCACGGCGTTTCCAAGGCCGTGGTGGATGTATTTTCGGCTGCAGGGGGCGCGACGACAGTATCGAGCATTACGCGATATGTGCGTCGTTTCACCGTCTGTGCTCGAAACACCTGCATCTGGAGGCGCCTCCGGCCCTGGAGCGACTGGCTGATTTTCTATGCGTGAGTCCGTGTGTGGGATCTCTGCCAGCGCACCTCCGCTCGGCTGGCGGTGTCGCTAAAGCAGCGACGCTGCGTGCCATCGGCGTCTATGCCTTGTACAGGTTGCACGGCGCTGCTACCCATGGCAGGGCTCTCCGCGCCGATTTCGATGGCATATTCGGCGAATTCGTCCAGGAGGGAATGCGTGGTTCCTAGCGGGCTGTGTCGCTAGTGCTCGCGGCGCGCAAACGGCCTCGAGGTTAGTCGTTCGTCCCTCTCCCCCTCCCTCTGCTGTTGTCGTTGTCGTCCTCGTCGTCCTCGTCGTCGTCTCTCGCTCTCTCCCCCTCTCCCCCTGGGCCTGGTCAGCCCATTTGTCTCACGCTTCACTGCGCATAAATCGGCACTGTCAGCATTTCTGCTTTCGCTCGGCCTGGGGCCGATAGCTTCACAGCTTCTCTGAGAGCATGAGATTGTTTTCCTTCGTCCTCTTCTCCTCTCTTGTCTCATGTTGTGTTGGATTTGCTGGTTCGGCCGACTAGGCCATTCAGCAAGGGGACTGCCGCACAACGCCTCGGCAGGCCAGGGGAAGATACATGCTGCAAGGCAAGTTCGTAACATTTGCTAGCTTGTTTCTCTCCCTCCTCTTCTTCCTCCTCCTTCTCCTCCTCATCTTCCGCTTGCCCTGGCAATAACTGTCACAGGTAGCTCCTTTTGTTTACGCCTGTCTTTTCAGGGGGGGCAGGATTCGTCCGCCCGAGCCGGCGCCTACAGTAAGCAGCAACATTATCGTGGCGAGGCTCGCACTTGTCTTTTTTGTTCCGAGTCTCTGGCTGGAGTTTCCGCCACGTATGTTCTGACCTTGTTTCTGGTATGCGGAATAGGTAATCGTCAGCTGGCCCTCTGCTCCTTGCTCCCCTCGGGCCCGACCAGCGCGCTCCCGGCACCTCCCCGCAGGAGGCCGTCGAGCGCCCAGGCGGGCTCAGGGCCCGCATCGCGAACTGGGCCAAGAGGAGTTCCGCGGTGGACCAGACCCGCGTCTGGACCCTGGGCTCCCTGGACCACCGCTGGAAGGCCCCCGCCCCAGAACTCTGGCGACTTTCAGGGGTCGCGCACGAGGCCTTCACGTTTTTCGGCGTCCCTGGGGGCCGTCTCTGAGCCCCCCTGGGGCTGTCATGAGACTGTTCGGGGTGAGAAGCTGGACCGAGGGAAGGGGTCGGGAGCTCCCAGGTTCCAGCGGCTCGAAGAAATCAGGTCGTCGGAGATCTGGGGAAGGCTGTGTGTTTCCTCTTCGTCGGGGTGCCCCGGGTCGTGATTTGCTGCCTCCTCGCCAATTCTGGGGCCCGTTTCATCGTGCGCTCCCCGGACATCATCGTCGACACCGTGGCGGTGTTATTCGTGGTGGACGTCGCGGCATTCATGTACAGCGCCTTTACCACCAACGCCGTGAAGCAGCAGCTGGAAATGGTGCAGCCGCTGGAGTGTTACCCGTGCAACACCCGACGGCTCTGGGCCGTACGTGTGGCCCCCGCCCACCGCTCCCCCCTCCACCTTCCTTTTGCCCTTCCGCCTGCCAGTTTCCCTCCTCCCCCATCTCTATCAGCAGCTTCTTCTGGTCGCGCCACCGTGTCGGTGGGGCGGGCCTGGCGTTTCGCCTGAGTTTTCCTGGCAAGCCGTGGCCCTGGAGCTGATTTGTGGCAACTGTTATGCGCAGGCCGGTTTCGCAATGCGGCTCTCGCCGTAGCGCCGCGCGCGTTCATGTTAAATGGCATCAATGGTTGCAAGGATGTAGGGCGGGCCCTTTCAAGATGTGGCTTTCTCCTTAGCGCCACGCGCACTCGTCGTACAAGCTTCCAGCAGCTGCAAGGATGGAGGGCGGTTCTTTTCAAGTCTCCGTAGGGCCGCAAATATTCGTCTGAAACGATTCCAACACATGACAGGACGGAAGGAGGTTTCTTGCTGCAACGATGATAGTAGCGATGGTGATGGTGGTGGTGATGATGACGATAACGACGGCAAGGCCATTGACGGCGCCAATGTTGGTGACGACGATGACGATGATGATGTCCACGAGTCGGTGATGAAGCTGATTGGCTGATGATGGCGGCAATGCTGGCGATTGACGATGGCGGTAATGGCGGTGATGCGGTGGCGCTAATGAGAGTGATGGTGAGGAAGTGCGCGCGCGCGAGGAAATGCAAGAAACCCGGCACACTTTGTTGAACAACATTTGGATCTCCATTTGGACATGCTTCGAGAACCAATGGTTTTGGACAGATTTCGACGCGCGTATTGCGGCGCGCTTGGGCGGCCCGAATTGTGTCATTTGATGCGGGTTCGTGCGCTGGGTGCATGCTAGATCAACGCGGATGTACCGCGGGGTAAGACGAGAATGCAGGTTCTGGACACTGTTGCTGAACTCTTGTCGTTTTCCCACGATTTCAGCAAATGCGCGCGGGCAGGACACCTGCAAACTTTGGGATGGCACACCCAAGGGTTGTTGTGCGTTTATGTTGAAATGCTTTCGAAACTGATCTGTGTTGGTATGATGTGATTTCGATGCATGTGTGCGCGCGTTTTTGTTGTTTGTCGTTTTTCCCCAAAGCCATCCCTTGGTTGGGCTCTCGTTTTGACTCGAGCAGTACGGGCCTCACCTCCTCCTCCCTTCCTCCCGCCCTCCTTCCTCCTCCCACTCCTGCCTCCTCCTCCTCCTCCTCCTCCTCCTCCTCCTCCTCCTCCTCTTCATCCTCCCCCTCCTGCCCCTCCTCTTTCGTGGGCTTCTGGGAGGTCCAGCGGGGTAGAAGTCCACGCGGATCTGCCGAGACCTCGCGGCTCCCCGGGTGGCTGCGAACCGCGCAACTGTCGCCATTTTCGTGGGCGCTTGGGAGGTCCAGCGGAGTAGAGGTTCACGCAGATTTGCTGAGACCTGAGACCTCGCTGCTCCCTGGATTGCTGCGAACCGCGCAATTGTCGCCACTTTCGTGGGCTCCAGGGAGGTCCAGCGGAGTGGAGGTCCACGTGGATCTGCCGAGATCTCGCGGCTCCCTGGAGGGCTGCGAACCACGCAACTATCGCCACTTTCGTGGGCTCCTGGGAGGCCCGTCGGAGTGGAGGTCCACGTGGATCTGCCGAGACCTCGCGGCTCCCTCTGGGCTGCGAACCGCGCAACTGTCGCCTCTTTCGTGGGCTCCAGGGAGGTCCGTCGGAGTGCAAGTCTACGCTGTTCTGCTGAGACCTCGCGGCTCCCTGTGGGCTGCGAGCCGCGCAATTTTCGCCATTTGTCGTCGGATCTGTCGAGGCCTCGCGGCTCCCTGGGGGGCTGCGAACCGCGCAACTATCGCCACTTTCGTTGGCTCCAGGGAGGTCCGTCGGAGTGGAGGTCCACGCGCATCCGCCGAGACCTCACGGCTCCCTGGGTGTTGCGAACCACGCAACTATCGCCATTTTCGTGAGCTCCTGGGAGGTCCAGCGGGCCCTGAGGGGCTGCGAACCGCACAACTGGCTTCCACTGTGCTCCTGGGAGGTCCAGCGGGTTGGAGGTCCATGCTGACACAGCCTATATCTTGTGGCTGCCTGGGGAGCTGCGCAGTGCGCGTCTTTCATCATGTTCGTTTGTGTTGAGCGGTCCTTAGCATAGCTGCCTCGTGTTAGAAAAGGGTTGGGTACTCCACCAGTTTTTCTTTTTACCTAACAGCGAAGACTGATAGGTTTCTAGTGGTGTCAAAAGAGAGCAGCAGATGACTCCACAGGGGGGTCTGGGCGGCATCCGGGGAGCTGTGTCCGAACTCGTGTCCGAACTCGTTTTTCGCAAACAGTCACACACTTCGTGCTCTTCGACCTCCCAGAACTCCATTCCCGGGCCACATTCTGAATGCCCGGAGCCAACTGTAGGCCACTTCGTGCTCTTCGACTTCCCAGAACTCCATTCCCGGGCCACATTTTGATGCCCGGAGCCAACTGTAGGCCACTTCGTGCTCTTCGAGTTCCCAGAACTCCATTCCCGGGCCACATTTTGAATGCCCGGAGCCAACTGTAGGCCACTTCGTGCTCTTCGAGTTCCCAGAACTCCATTCCCGGGCCACATTTTGAATGCCCGGAGCCAACTGTAGGCCACTTCGTGGTCTTCGAGTTCCCAGAACTCCATTCCTGGGCATGATTTTGAATGCCCGGAGCCAACTGTAGGCCACTTCGTGGTCTTCGAGTTCCCAGAACTCCATTCCTGGGCATGATTTTGAATGCCCGGAGCCAACTGTAGGCCACTTCGTGTTTTCGAGTTCCCAGAATTCAATTCCCGGGCCACATTTTGAATGCTGAGGCTGATGCTGAGGCAGGCTGAGGCTGAGGCTGAGGCTGAGGCAGGCTGAGGCTGAGGCAGGCTGAGGCTGAGGCCGAGGCTGAAGGCAGACTGAGGCTGAGGCTGAAGCAGGCTGAGGCTGAGGCTGAGGCAGGCTGAGGCTGAGGCTGAGGCAGGCTGATGCTGAGGCAGGCTGAGGCTGAGGCTGAGGCTGATGCAGGCTGAGGCTGAGGCAGGCTGAGGCTGAGGCCGAGGCTGAAGGCAGACTGAGGCTGAGGCTGAAGCAGGCTGAGGCTGAGGCTGAGGCAGGCTGAGGCTGAGGCTGAGGCAGGCTGATGCTGAGGCAGGCTGAGGCTGAGGCTGAGGCTGATGCAGGCTGAGGCTGAGGCAGGCTGAGGCTGAGGCCGAGGCTGAAGGCAGACTGAGGCTGAGGCTGAAGCAGGCTGAGGCTGAGGCTGAGGCAGGCTGAGGCTGAGGCTGAGGCAGGCTGATGCTGAGGCAGGCTGAGGCTGAGGCTGAGGCTGATGCAGGCTGAGGCTGAGGCAGGCTGAGGCTGAGGCCGAGGCTGAAGGCAGACTGAGGCTGAGGCTGAAGCAGGCTGAGGCTGAGGCTGAGGCAGGCTGAGGCTGAGGCTGAGGCAGGCTGATGCTGAGGCAGGCTGAGGCTGAGGCTGAGGCTGATGCAGGCTGAGGCTGAGGCAGGCTGAGGCTGAGGCCGAGGCTGAAGGCAGACTGAGGCTGAGGCTGAAGCAGGCTGAGGCTGAGGCTGAGGCAGGCTGAGGCTGAGGCTGAGGCAGGCTGATGCTGAGGCAGGCTGAGGCTGAGGCTGAGGCTGATGCAGGCTGAGGCTGAGGCAGGCTGAGGCTGAGGCCGAGGCTGAAGGCAGACTGAGGCTGAGGCTGAAGCAGGCTGAGGCTGAGGCTGAGGCTGAGGCAGGCTGAGGCTGAGGCTGAGGCAGGCTGATGCTGAGGCAGGCTGAGGCTGAGGCTGAGGCTGATGCAGGCTGAGGCTGAGGCAGGCTGAGGCTGAGGCCGAGGCTGAAGGCAGACTGAGGCTGAGGCTGAAGCAGGCTGAGGCTGAGGCTGAGGCAGGCTGAGGCTGAGGCTGAGGCAGACTTAGGCTGAGGCTGTGACTGCGACTGCCGTTGCCGCTGCGACTGTCATCGCGAATGCGACTACGACTGCGAGAACAGCAGAATTCTACAACTGGGCCCTCATTTGAATCTTAAGGGGAATGCTTCCAGATGTGCTCCTACACATCGCTGTTAGGTTGCTTAGCCGGGATAATTTTGCAAGGTTTCTTTGTTACCTAACAGCGAAGACTGATAGGTTTCTAGTGGTGTCAAAAGAGAGCAGCAAATGACTCCACAGGGGGGTCTGGGCGGCATCCGGGGAGCTGTGTCCGAACTCGTGTCTGAATTCGTTTTTCGCAAACAGTCACACACTTCGTGCTCTTCGACCTCCCAGAACTCCATTCCCGGGCCACATTCTGAATGCCCGGAGCCAACTGTAGGCCACTTCGTGCTCTTCGACTTCCCAGAACTCCATTCCCGGGCCACATTTTGAATGCCCGGAGCCAACTGTAGGCCACTTCGTGCTCTTCGACTTCCCAGAACTCCATTCCCGGGCCACATTTTGGATGCCCGGAGCCAACTGTAGGCCACTTCGTGCTCTTCGACTTCCCAGAACTCCATTCCCGGGCCACATTTTGAATGCCCGGAGCCAACTGTAGGCCACTTCGTGCTCTTCGAGTTCCCAGAACTCCATTCCCGGGCCACATTTTGAATGCCCGGAGCCAACTGTAGGCCACTTCGTGCTCTTCGAGTTCCCAGAACTCCATTCCTGGGCATGATTTTGAATGCCCGGAGCCAACTGTAGGCCACTTCGTGTTCTTCGAGTTCCCAGAATTCAATTCCCGGGCCACATTTTGAATGCTGAGGCAGGCTGAGGCTGAGGCTGAGGCAGGCTGAGGCTGAGGCAGGCTGAGGCTGAGGCCGAGGCTGAAGGGACTGAGGCTGAGGCTGAAGCAGGCTGAGGCTGAGGCTGAGGCAGGCTGAGGCTGAGGCTGAGGCAGGCTGATGCTGAGGCAGGCTGAGGCTGAGGCTGGCTGATGCAGGCTGAGGCTGAGGCAGGCTGAGGCTGAGGCCGAGGCTGAAGGCAGACTGAGGCTGAGGCTGAAGCAGGCTGAGGCTGAGGCTGAGGCAGGCTGAGGC